AATCGCCTAAGCCCAAGAGCTGGAGGTTGCTTTAAGCTGTGGCACCACAGCACTCTATCAAGGGTGACAAAGTGAGACCCTGTCTCTTAAAAAAATAAAAAATAAAAGTATTTCCTTTTCCCTGTAAGCTCTACCCACAGAAACTGTGTGAATTAACTTCTCAGACTATTTTTTTGCCTCTCTGACATCAGAATAACCATATCTTCTAGTATTAGATTCATTGATCATAATCTATATTGCCTGATTTACATTTCACCCCCACTGTGTTGCCATTTATTTAACACCAAAATGTGTTAAATATCTACTTATAGAAATAAATGAAGACCAACCAAATGAGAAAAGTAAAACCTATTTATTCTGAGCTTACTATAGCAAGAGAGTCAGCCTCTATCCCTTGTGTTTTGGCAGATTCTCAAAGGCAGTCAGAGGAGTGAAAAAGCTGTATAGTAGAAAAAAACGAAGACTTCAGATTTGGCCCAATTGCAAGCTGTTGCCATGGGGAAGCTGTAGGAGGGCCAACTAGAAGGAGGTGGGGAGGCAAATCACATATGATTGATAAGGGGCTCATATTTGGCTTTCTCTGATTGGTCCCAAATTGGAAGTGGTGACAAAAATTAGAGAAGCTGTCAGTTATTAAGTCCTGGCCATTTGGGGCCAGTTGTTAGAGAAATTATTGATTCATTTTCTGGATTGTCACCAAAGATAGAAATCTTATTTCTTGCCAGACTAATTTATGCCACCCTGACTTCCTAGATTTATTATAGATCAGGGGTTGACTTCCCGGGCAGGTTGCTATAGGTTGTGGGTCAAAGTTCTATATTTATATATGGTCTGTCTGTCTTTGTGTTGATATAAAGGAATACTTGAGTAATTTATAAAGAAAAGAGAATTATTTGGCTCACAGTTTTGCAGGCTGTAGAAGTGGCATCAGCACCTGTTTCTGATGAGGACTTACGGCTGTGGCATTTATGGCAGAAGACAAAGGCAAGCCAGCACGTAGCGATCACATGGCAAGAGAGGAAGAGAAAGAGAAGAAAGAGGGAGGAGTAGAGGAGGTACCAGGTTCTTTTCAACAACTGGTTTTTGCAGGAACTAAGAGTGAGAACTTACTCCTGTGAAAATGGCACCAAGTTGTTCCTGAATGATCTGCCCTCACCACCCAAACACTTCCTACCAGGTCCCACCTCTAACATTGGGATCAAATTTCATCATGAGATTTGGCAAGGCTAAACAAACAAACCATAGTATGGTCTGTCCATTGTCCCTTCATATATTCAGTCTTTCTTTATTTTGTATCATTCACAATTTTTTTTTTAAA